AAAATTCATTCCTACTGTGAACCATCGTAAATCACGCGATTCCATTGTTACTATTCCAATCCTTCCCCTGCCCTTCCCAACATGGTTCCTGGCATGCAAGAGTTGTAGTGAAATAGGCACGACCCAGGCGGAGGATTATCCGCATCGAGGATTAAGGGTAGCGCTTTACAGATGACAAGCACCCACAAAGCTCTACGCCATCAAAGGCCTCTAAAGTATCCATTAGATGACCCACTAACAACGCCACTGCATCCAACAGCTCGTCATCGTCATCATCCTCGTCTTCATCATTGTCTTCTCCTCCTCCTTCGCCTCCTCCACCACCACGAGCACCTCCAACTCCTTCATGGTCATCTTTCGAATGAGGCAGCATGCCTGCGGTGGAAGGAAGACTCAGGTGGAGGTGGTGATGTTGCTGCAACTGCTGCTGATGTGGTTGAGTCATCAGTGGCTGTAATTGAAGCTGTTGTGTTGTCACCATCTCTGTTGAGGGTAGAGCTGCACGCGGCTGACCCACATCACGATTGGCGATATGGGCACGCATTGCACGTAGATGATAGCGTTCGAAACGTTCATGGCTAGGAATAGGTCAAAAGTTATTGGTGTAAAGGCCATCGTTTGACTGCAAACTATGCCAACCTAATGCGCCACGAATTTCATGCTCCTTCTGAAAACCTTCCAGATGGATTTGCGCAGGACTTTCCCAAGGCGTAGAGCCTCCTGTCGTTTAGGGGCTCTACTCCAATCTTCCAGACCCGTCTTCATGAATTTCGATATTTTGGTGGGTTAGAAGGTGTCTAGATTTGACATGGGCACCAAATGACTTTCACATGTCTAGCCAGCAGTAACAGATGCCAGATAGTCAGTCCCACAGTCTATCAACAATTTACCTACCTCAACTCCTTTACTTCACACTACATCCTTTCAATTCATCACCCATGTTGCATCCTAATGCAATGGTAAGCATACAAACTCATCATTGGTCATTCTCCCACACTCCTCACTCACTACCCACCATACACCTCCAAAACAAGCACTTCTTCCCTGCACCACCACTCCTCCTTCCTGCACTTCGGGAGGAACTATTCACCTCAACCATTCCCCTACCACACAACAAACAATGAAGCCTGAGATTCACACACTCAAACGATGCTGTCTGTACCAACTTGAAGGTGTGCAAGTAGAACTCCTCTCCTTCTCTTCCTTCGCCACCTTCAGAAACAGCCACTTCCGATTCCCATTGATTCAAAGGAAAGTTCTCTTTTCCCAGATCAGTGCAATGCCTACTTTCAACTTCAATTGGACTATCCAAAAATTTTCACCTTACATGTTATGAAAGGAGGAGATGGAGAAAAAAGAGGGGCAGATAGAGACAGGGAGGTACTGCCTCATCTTCGCCCATATCCTGTGTATCTCCCTACTATCACTATAAGCAATGACAATTACCCTTTCTGGCACAGGAGAATGGTAGGTGACGTGCATTCCACAGCCACTAAGCAGAAGAGAGGCGGGGAAATTGTGGAAGCAATCAATTTATTCCGCGAATCATTGTCCATGTAGTTGTTTTTTCATCCTGAGTAATGCAGTTCCACGACTGCCGTTGCTACATGATCATGTGAAAAGCACTTCCAGGGTGGGAAGGTGAATACTACCGTGAAATGCGGTAAGCAGACCTAGCATCCCTCAGTACAGAAAGCAGAACAACATCCGGCCTCCAAAAATTCCATATATAATGACTTTTCAATGTTGTTTGATTACAACCGAATTAAGATAAGATTTTCCTAGTGTGCTGATACTGCTGAAATGAGTAACTTCTCTCTCGGATGCTAACTAATCGCCCTCTCTCTTACCCTGTCTTCCCAATCACACTTTTGTTATCTCTGAACCATAGCCAGTGAAAGGAATGTTAAGAAAAAGGAAAGGGGGGAAGGCTAAAAGCGAAACACGTAATATCAACAGAAAATGTGGTGCATATTCATTGTGGAGGGTTCTGCATTCCTCCAACCACTGTAATGCACAGAAGGTAACATTAACACATTGGGGATATAAAGGATAGACGGACAGACAGAGGTAGGCGGATAATTGGCCAGACATTAGTGGATAAACAGCACATAACTAGGCAACAACAACGCCAGCGACAGCGACAACAACAAAGTGGAGTGAGATTGGATGCGATGGGATGAGATAACGGTCTGCTAACGGCATTGCCGCCTATCTGACCGACAAACGCAAGCAGCATCAAACGGCTAGGGCGATGCCAACTGGAACCAACAGTCTGCACTGCATTGGGCACGCATGTGCTTTGCCACTTTTGGCGGCAATTACCTCATCTCTACCTCCAGTCCCCACCTCCCACATCACTGACACACCCTGTCGACATGGCCGATTTGGAGGCTTTCATACCACACCTCTTCATTATCCAATGCCAATCTCCTGCATTATGAAGACTTCTCGAATTACGCAGATCTTGCCTGTTGACCTCAGCAAATTCTGCGTTGGGTTAAATGATCTGACGGAGGTGTCCCACTTTGGTGGTCAGCCGCAGTCACTTCTCCCACCTGCAAGTGCAGCTTATGTCTGCCCAAATCTATGCTAACTCCTCCCACGATGCGAAACCTCCCTTAACACCAGACCTACTTCGTGCTTGCTTCAATCCGCTTAATCACTTTAATGTCACTTCTGCTATGAAGCCTGTACTCTCCTCGGGTTAGATAAGGGCTTCCGCTTAAAGACTTTGATAATCTTGACTAGCTTAACCCATTACAACAGAGAGACACCTCCGAGTTCGCTCACCACAACATTTCCAGATAACACTCACCTTCGCCTCAGAGTTGAGGAGACGATTCCACAACCATATCCGCACACCAAGAAGGCTTTACATCCACCGCACTGCTTCAACATTAATCAGTCACTCCCTAATCCGCACGATTTGGTGAAATCAACACACGCATAAGTCGTGAGCAGGAGGCAATATTTTGCTGAGGATCTGGAAATAATTTTCCCCCCTTAGGAGAAAAAATGCATTTTATTATTTCAGTTGGTCCAGAACTACTTCCGTGGAAGATTAATTTCAAATTTATCTTTCACTTTGCCGAATAAACAAACGCTGTTAAAGCAGCCCCAATCCCTCATCAAAGTAAAAAATTTAACCAACTCCACCAAAATCAACCCTTTACTCTGTTTAACTTCCAGCATCACCAAACTCTGCCTTTAAGTTTGCTTTTAACGAGGTGGAATAAAGTGGGAGCTGACTTACGTCCATCCATGACAAACAAAAGTTCATTCACACATTTCACGTCCAAACCTGCCCAGCCCCTCTCCCTCAAAAGGTGCTTCAGCAAGAGGTAGACACTTAAACCACGACAACCCGCCTCCTCATTGTCAAGGCAACAAATGCCACTGCTTTGCCAAACAAGGATGGCTTAATTCTTAGACTAAAGTTGCTACCGAAAAATAGACTTATGAATTAACAATCGCTTTTCCCTTTAGATCGGTAATGAGGTGCTCCACGTCCGGAACTGTCCTTAATTGGATGCGAGACAACCTCACAAGTCAAAAGGACACCCTTCCACCTCACTGGCCGATGGAAGACAGGCTAGTGAGAAAGGAATGTCTGTTGTATCATTGGGCTACAGTGGCGTGGAGAGGTGAGAGACATCTGAGGACATATTTTTTGCCAATCTGCGAAAAACAGTGCAACCTCCTTGGTGGAACAGATAGATATTTAGGTAGATCAGTGGGAAAGGAGAAATGGCTGCCCAAGACCTATTCATTAGAACCCAGAAAGGAGAAACCATCTCTTTCCACATCACACCTGACTCATCACAACTTGGCAGCTTACACCAAAAGAGCATGAAAGAGGTCCGAGGTATGCCCCATAACAAATTCTCCTACGGAAGACTTGGTTTTGACAAATGCACTTTTTGCTCCTTACTTAACAAATAAGTAGATTTGTATGCTTCCACAATCTTATCTTCCTCCTAAACATTTACAAATCAGGTGGTAGAGAAGTGACAACGCGATCACACTGGCCCGTGTCTAGCCACATTAGCAAAGGGGTGGGAAAGGGAATGAGGAAAATTTCCATCATTTTGGGAAAAAATCCCAAATTCTGCCGACTAATTTCGATCGTTAATTGTGACTGAAACGTAGTGATAAGCTTGTTCTAATAAAGTACCTAAATCTGATTTCAGCGCAGTCAAAGAGTGACAAATTTAGAGGAGATGCAGAGTGCACTATCGTGAAGGCATAGGACAAGGCACAAAACACCCAAAAGGAATGCGGAATTCAGTGAGGAGTGGTGAGGACCTTCACTCTTCCTCTTCTTTCCTCTTGACAGGTGTGCCCTCTTTTCAAGCCAGCACACGAAAGGCTGCAATGATGTACGCCGCCTTTGAAGGTGGTGTTCGGCAATGCCCACCCCTCCTCTACAAAATATCGCCTAATTCGTTTCGACTAAAAAAACGAAAATATACACTATTGAGGTGCCTCTAACCTCAGATAATGTTGGA